CCTTTTCAAGCTTTTTTACCCAACAAATAAAATATGCAGCCTACAGATATTTTGCTTATTTTTTCATCTGCTTATAAATTCAAAAGTGCTAATAGTCGTATTTAAAAGTTTAGCTTTATAGCTAATACTATTATTAATCTTAATTTAAATTTGTAATTATTAGTTTGTTGTCTATGAATATAATTTATTAATGTGTTTATCAATTTTCTAATAGCATTAGAAAATAATATATCATATAACTTAATTTCTTGTGGTTCAAATTATATTACTAGAGTTAGCCGTTCCTACAATTTATACGTCGTATACCGAACATTAATGTCTATAACAATCGAGGGGTGTATATATTTTATGGAACGATTTTGACCACATGATACACGCTAATTGCTTGCTTTTACGACCACCTCGGTTGAATTTGACCCCGATGTACAGTGTCTTACAGTGTGTAAGACAATATATGGATAAACAAACAATATTGTGTAAAATATAAATACCCATTTATATAGTATAATATACTCTTATTCATTATATATACAAATTTAATATTTTGTTTTAAAGGAAATATTAATGAAACTTAAGAATCAAACATAATTGATTTTTAATTTATAAAGAATAAACTTTATTATAGAAAATAATATTATAAGTTATAATGATACATACAACCATGGCTCTGTGGAAGTCTATATTATAATCTCGATTGTGTGAGTTTATGAATTGTTTAATATTTTAGTAATTTTTTTTCAGACCTAGTGGTCGTTGCATGCATACATCGATTATTTAATTATGATAAAATATACTATACGATAATATAGACAATATAACATTACTTACTAATGTGGGTATACTATAAATTATAATAGTAGGTAGGTATAATATAAACCGGGCTAATAATTACAATAACTCTATTAATATTTAAGTGGTACTGTTTGATCGTTGTTTTATTTGTTGTGGGCTGTAGTATCACTGTATCACTGTATCAGTATTTAGTATAAAGTTATAGTTACATATACCTATATTGTACTTACATTAGTTACATTTCATACAGACTGTCTATCTACAGTGGTGAGATAGAGAATATAATATGATGAAAGGATATCAGTTTGCAATGTGATTATTTCAACTGCAATTTTTGGGTACATTAATTCAAAATTGCGACGATTGAGTCACATTTATAAATAATAAATTAGAAGCTATCCCTGTATTAATTATTAATATAACAATTAATAAGTAGATGATTAGTGAGCACTTATCCCAACTAAAAAGCGACAACTATGTAGTTGATAGGTATATCAATACAGAGCATTATTGACAATAGTGTCGTACACTTCTATGAAGTTATATAATAATATAATTAATTAAGATTTCGTTAAGTATATCCTTATTAAAATAATACTAACTAGACAGTGTTATAGTCTATACTCTATAGTAGATGTGTTCAATACAATTTCTTAGCAAATATAACAATATCATCATTTAGACATTTGATATTATGAAACTTTATTTAATTTAATTTCCTGATAAATGATTATGTACTTATACCTAAATACTATAATATAATTCTTGAATATAGTATCACATCCAATTAACGTGATCAATGTATTTTTACATTAATAAAAAACAAAAAGAATTAAAAATACTATGGTTAGATGATTAATTGAAATGTAAATCATATGTATTAAATTGTATTATTATTGTTTCTGCTTATTAAAAAAAATATCATATAGGAGAATATTTAAATTGATTTGACCTATTTATTCATGCATTTGATTTTTAGTCAAGTTACCCACATCTATTAGAATTATAACAATACCTATAATATACGTGGCCTCTTTAATCTAATGTGTTGACGAGACAGACTACAGACAAATAATTATTTGTATGTTGTATACATACAATATTTTATGTAGCTTAGGTACTAATATATATTAGTTTATATTATTGATTTATAGTTAAGTTGAAAACAAATTAATTTTGGGTATAGTTTTGAATATAGGTACCTACTGATTAAAATTAATTCATTTTTAACCATAGATATTATAGAATGGATTTGCCATTTGTGATTACCTACTGATTATCATACGGGGACAAACATGAAAATATAGAGGTCTTATGCTTATCACAAATATATTGATGTATTATTATGTATATAATATTATATTATGATAAGACATCTGCTAGAATGAGAGGAAATTATAAAAATAGTCTTTCTCTCTTCCGCATTCCGGCACGCTTTTTTCCCTGTATTTGACAAATAAATAATAAAATATAAAAGTTAGTTCTTTGTATTTCTATGATTATTGCCAAAATAGGGAAATTTTGAGAAACTCTGTCGTACTGACGTAGATCAGGAAAGGACGGATAAACGATGCAATTGGGATTTAAATTATATTAACGTTGACATTACAATAACTTTGATAATCGTGATATGTGATAATATATTAATATTATTCTATTGTAATTTGTACTAATGTACTTCTAATGTAATATTTAACTAATCAAAATTAGGTATGTATTAAAAATATCTTGTTTTATTATCGAAATTACCAAAATTTGTATGCCACGCAACTCACTAAAACTATATTTTACTGCAGGAGAACAGTTTTAAGATTTTAAATATTATTCTACGACAAATAATTTGTGTTGAAGATTTTTGTTTTTCGGTGTTACAAATTATTTTTCTGTAAAATATTCTGCAGATTATATAAATTACTACTTTTAGGTCTTAAAATATTGGAATTTTTTTATTTAATGTGAAATATAAAAAAGTAGCATTTTTCTTCAAATTTTTAGTCAAATAAAACCTGTTCTTTAACATTATTTTTTACTAATAAAGATATCACATTTTTAAAAGTAAAAAATATAAATATAAACATATTTATAATTTGAATTCAATATAATTTATTGACAAATGCTAAAAAGAAAATTATTTTATTTTATCAATTCTTCAGTACAGCTGCAAAAATTACAAAATCCTACAAATTTAAAATTAAAAAAAAAAAGTATAATTTACTAATCTAAATATAAAACAAAAACTAATTACATACTTACTGTTGGCAAATAAAAATAAAAAGTATATTTTACTCTTCTTAATCGGAATTAATGTGTATTAAAAAAAAAAATAATAATAATACTGTAAGGTATCAAACCAAAGTTGAAATGTTTGCTTATTGTATAGAGTATAGACTATTAACAAATTAAAATAAAATAAGAAACTCATAAGTCTGTAAACATACAACTTCAAGTTACAACACACCGTGACTGGATTGTCACACGAATGATAATAATATTACGATTTTTGACGTATCGACGTATAATCAGTGATTTAAACGGCATATCAAAAAAATAATACTTCCAGGCATATTACTTTTTTATAAATAGATTAACAAATGCAATATTATCCCAAACATTACAAGTCCAAACACGAACAAATTGTTTTTGACAAAAGTAACTAGTCCGGACTCACAAAAATTAAAGTATAAATAAATCATGTTTTAATTAAGATATTGATTTATAATGTTTTATCGAATCAAAAAGACGACCCAGATTAACCTAATATAGCCTATTATAAAATGATTTTGAGAAAAATTGGACATACAACTTTTGTCCTCTTTGCCATCGTTATACTGATCAATTGATGTATAAGAATTTCATTTAATGTAGTGATATGGAGGTTATAGGGGGGGGGGGGGTGATATTGACTCCAAAAGTATTTTGTACATAGGGAGCTAATTCTCAGCGGTCGTCCCAGATTATTATCATAAAGTATAAACAATAATTAAATAGCTTATCAGTGGTTGGTACCTACCAATGTGTATAATGAAAATATATTATAATATACATTTGGTCCCGCCCGCCGAATGGATATAGCGTAAGCATAATGCAAATCATAACGCTCACGCGTATTAGTGTGCAGGTACACATCATATTATTATATTAGTATAATTATAACGCCAGGGTGTTTGGGGGTGGGGGGTGGTAAACTATGGTGTGTAAAAAACAAATGGAATAATAATAATAATCAATAATTTGCTAATAAGATTATTCTCGAAAGTATTGTTATACAACCTTGTCACCCATAATAAACGTAATATTATCATGATCACAACATAATATGTTGTCGTACGCGCTCGAAACATTACCCGAGACGACGATGTCACACGACGACACGAGTGCGGAGTATCGACGATGCACAACAGGTAAACTGCAACCGACACTCGCCAGTCGCCATTCGGTTGTAGTAAAGTTGTACTACAACTGTCAACTACTACTTATAATAGTAATAACAATATAATCAGCACCTAGGATAGTAATAATAATAATAATAATAACAACATTACGTAATGTAATAATGCTATTATTATTATTGTTACGTGCTGGGCGTTCGGCAATAAAGGCGGAGCGACGGTACGCGGTGGTGGTGGACCGCCGGTGAACGCCCATCGGGTCGCAGATACGCGGTACATATTATACGCGCGCCGGCCACCGGCACACGGCCGTTTATCAATGACGCGTCGCTGCCGTCCGTATCAGCTGCACCGGTCTGTCTGTCCGTCCGTGGTCCGTCCGTCCGCTCGCTCGTTTCTCTCGTCGTACCGATAAAATATCATTACTGTGATCTTTCGTTTCGTCGATTTTTCCACCGCCAGTGTTCGTTTGGCCACCGGAATTTCCGAAATAACCCTTTAAAATGCATACGACGACTATAATATAGTGTACGGCCCAGTTCGTTTTTGGGTTTGATATTTTTTTAATTTGTTGTGCGTTGTACGTATGTATTTTTCCAATAGCCCTGTTTTTAGTGTTTTAATACGAATCGTATTATTATTGTGTATCATCCTCGCGTGGAAAAATACCATGACGCGCAGTCGATGTCGAGTTTGGTGGTAATATCGCAGTTAACGAGTGTTTGTGTTTATTTTGATATATTATTCGACCGGCACGATACGACCATATTATAATAATATTGTTCTATTAATATAAATTATTAATCGTGAGGCACCGTCATGCACGTCGAACTGGACGGCGGCGGAGGTGGCGGCGGTGCGTCTCCTTGGGCTGCTGCCGCGGTACTCGGGCACCACCACCATCATCATCATCATCGTCCCGCCGACACTGATCACCACCACCTACACCACCACCACAATCATCTACACCCCGCCGCGGCGGCAGCCGCCGCTGCTGCGAACGGTTTTCACCCTGCTCATCCAGCTCACACGCCGATGGATTTGCACGTGCCGCAGCCCTTTCCGTACTATAGGTAGGTCCAAACTGCAGTTTATATGACATAATTTTAATATTTTATTCTGAAATATTTACGTTCCAGTTCCTAGCAAAACAATCATGTCGGTTCCTTTAATCCTCTTCCCGTAGGATTTAGTGTCTAATATAATTTAAATAAGGATTCCGATTCCAAAACCTGTTACCTTATTGGTATACCACTATTCCAAGTTCCAATCCTTGACAGTGAGTTACCCTTTCAATAATAACGGTGTATAATAGGTACTACTGCAGCTATAATAATAATTGAGACACACGCTTTTGTTCACGAATCCTATAAAAATAGGTATAGCCGTATACGTATTAGAATATTATTAGTATAGGATAGTATTATAGTCGTATAACAGATAGTAAAGTAGTGGTCTAGATACTATGTATCTGTAGTCTGTACCCAGTGGCCAATGGTATTAGGTACATAATATTATAGTTTGATACTTTCTTATGCTTACGCTAGATACACATCAAATATTATATTATTATAGTTTATTGCATTCAATATTATTTTCATTTATTCATATTTAATATTTATATTAGGTATAATGTATTAAAAATACAAGGCATATAAATATATAATAGGTAGGTATAAACTGTACACTATAGTGCCTAAATCAGATTTATATTATAAATAGAATTGTGATGGTTGAATTTTTATGTTTGACCATACCGGATAGCCGGATATAGATGTCCGTATTATACGTATCCAAGTATCAACGTAGGTACCTACTTCTATAATGCGAGAAAAACTTAATAAGTATTTTGTAATATATTGTTTTAAGAAATAAATAATAAAGGTAAAAATGCAAACAGAAAAAATTCGAAAAATAAACCATAATATTATTAGTTGAATAATATATTAAACAAAATTCAATAAATATTTAAAAAAAAAAAAAAGAAAAGAATTTTCACATTTACGATATTAATAGGTACTACCTGAAGTTGAGGCTGTCATAATACTTAGCAAAGGGTTTTATACAATAATTATGGTAGGTTTATAATTAATAATTATTATTTATTATTGTAAAATTTACCTACTAAATATTTACAATTTCAATGTAAGTACCTGCTAAAGTAGACATAACATTTAAATGTAGTGAGTTATGTATATACCCAGATGCTATAAGGAAGTTTAATGGTAACATGGTATTTTCATAATAATAATTTCGCTCAAAACATGTAAGGTTGGGGATTTTCATGTAAAGTGGGCCCCGGTTTACATTTTTTTCAATTTTAAACGCTGTTATCTCTAACGGTCAACAGAAGTTTCCAAACTTTGTTTTTCGTATACCTACCACTCATGCTTATTACAGATCAGTTGCTATAATGACTAAAAATACAACTATTCAAAATGTCAACATATTTACTATTTCTAAATGATAATAAGGCAGTGCAAAATTAGCTACATTTTTTTATAACCATCTAAATCCGAATTGTTATTTTCGCGATTCAGAATAACAATATTGATATTAACATACAACAGTAATAATAATAATTTATACAAAATATAAAATATAAAATAATTTTATATCCACCATATACATAAAAAAAAAAAAGAAAACTAATTTATGTAGCTACTATCATATTGTGAATTTTGAATCTTTGGCGTACCATAAAGTTGAATTTCCCGTACTGGTACCTGCAGTATAGTATTAAAGTACCTATATCTACGCGTACGGCGTATCACAGTTTGGGAACCTTTGATCTAGAAAGTAGAAGGTAAATTAAACATTTTTTCGTATCTGTAAGTATTTAAATAATGGCGGAATTCGATTTGACTTGGTGTCATATGCGTAACTTTGATTTAGTTGTTACATGGACTAGAGTTCTTCAAAATCAAAGATGAAAATAAGTCACTCTCTCCATTTAATATTAACAAATAAAACTCACATAAAACGTTGACAAGTCAATGTAGCATAGTTCTTATCGGATTGCAACAAATGAACAAAAATTTAATAGGTACAATTACCGACATTCACATATTATAGTATATGGCACATACTATCACGATACGGGTAATAACTGATAAGGATTAGTAAGTCACAGTTTTTGATTGGCCTTTAACCAGGGTATAGACACTCTGTGTATTGGCAAAATCGGGTGACTGTGGCCTTGAGCACGGTCTCTAAGGGGGCGTGGCATATGTTATCATTTAAATAAATCATATCAATATTATCAGTCCACAGAATACAGAATACAATATATTATTAAATTATTTCATTAACAATAAACCAATGTAAAATTACAATATTACATTATAGTTTTTAATTTATATGAAAACAAAATCCTTATTCATTTTACCAAAATTTAATAATGATATACTTAAAATATGAAAAATAAATTATTTATCGTTATTAATCGTTTATAATAATTCCGTAACAAAGAGGGATACACGTTGCTAACGTTCTATCAGATTACGGATACGGTACAACTTTTTTAGTCCAATACATCATACCGTAGGGATACGTAAACCCTCACAGCTGATCGAGTGTCTATTCTATATTGTTCTGTGCTTTAACCGAAGCTTTTTTGCAGAACATTCAATCATTTTTAATATTATTCTATTTTAAAATAAATAAACGTCGTGCATCAAAAGATTGGAATAACCGTGAACACAGAATATCATACTATTTGCAATTCATATTAAACCGGGATTAAACTTATTTAAATCTATTTAATACTTATACTTTATATTATGCACAGATATATATATGGATATTAACAGCAGACAACAGTGCTAACAGGTTGAGTTTTATAAATCTCTATATAAAAATATTAAATGGACATTTATGATATATAAATAATAACTTTACAAACCATATTAATTAACCTGTTATCCATTATATATTTCTGATTATTATGAGGACGTGGTATGCATTTCAGAGGAGGCTAGAATAACTTTTAAGGGTAGTAGGTAAGCCCATATATGTATAGTTATACCTACTCTGATGCTTGATATTAATTTATATTGTATATACTTAGGCACTATATATTTTTGGTGTAAAATGAATTTCTCCGGTATTATTCCTATTATGTGTAATAAAATCTCTTTTGATTCGTATCTCCTCTTCAGAACCCAAAAACCGTGATCTGATAAGTAACATTAGATATACAGTTCATAAGCGGCGAACAAGTACATTGATAATAATGTAGTTTTAAGGCATGTATAGAGGACAATTAATTATTATAGATTTTGGAAAGAACGAAAACATTTTCAGTTTTACTTAATAATGTATAACAATGAATTTGGTTTTAATCAGAGAAACTATTTTATTAACGATTAAGCCTCACACTACACCGTGTCGCGGGGTGATTTCGTATTTTTATATTTATACCAAAATGCAATATCAATGATATGAATATTGTACCTGGTGATAACATAATATTATTTTATTTTAGTTATCACTTTTCCGCACATAAATGTAACCACACGGTCAAAAGTTGAATATATTCAACTATGTGGTATCTTTTGGTAACTATGGTATCTGTGATTATTTTACACGTCACAGTGTAGTGTGAACCCGGCTTTACTTAGAATGACGATCCATCCTTCAAATCCATGGTTTATAAGATACGGTTCAATACATGGTATAATAAATTGTAAGGCCTGGTTCACACTACACTGTGTTGTGTAAAATAATCACAGTTACCAAACGATACCGCATAGTTGAATATATTTAACTTTTGACCGCATGGTTACATTTATGTGCAAAAAAATGATAACTAAAAAAAAAGTTATATTATAATGTTTTCATCAGGTACAATATTTATATCATTGGTATAAACATAAAAACACGACACGGTTTAGACACTATACGTATAACCCGGCTTAGGAAAACATTTTTAAAGCGTGTTCAAGTCCTGTATTTGATGTAGTATCCAATTGATAGAATGTAGGTAATTATTGGTAGAGAAAGTGCTCTGAAATAATTAGTTTAACATTTCAAAAAAATTTTTCGTCTGCTTATATACAAATGTATTACAATTCAAACAAAGACGTATTTTAATATTTTATTATGATTCGGATGAATGTGTATATTGTGTGTAATTTATGTGTATATCATGTATGACATATTTGGCTTAACACTTAATTTTGTAACGTATACAAAATACGATGTCCTCTATTTTTTATAAACCTCTCAAATATTATGGTCTCCCCTAAAATTATCCTTTGTTGCTTAATAGCCACTATATAGTCGATATAGGTAATACGCTTCGTATATACTTTATAATATACGTGTTGTATAATTTACGTTGTCTATAATCATATAGTAATATTGTATGAAGTTAAAATAGACATTGCTATAATAAGTAAACACGTCTTAACATGAAACATGAAACTATATTAAATAAAAACGATATAAATTGAGATACATATTGATAAAGATAACTTACACGTTAGGATAATGTCTCTAAAAAAGTATATACCTAATTAATAATATTATTAACTGCACTATGAAATATACTAGATGTGTACAATAATATTTGAACATTTAACTAACGAAATTGTTACAAAATGATATGTTCTATATTAGCCATTACTAATAATTGACAATACAATCGTAAATTCGTAAATAATAAATTGTTTTAAATGATATGTTTATAAAACCAGCAACAGAATTGGAAACCAGTCACGTGAAAGAAGTCCGCAAATTGGATGGACGAATACAACAGTCATCGAGTATAATATTATAATACCTATATAGGTAACCACTGATATGCTGGTAAAAATGTATCGAAAGCGTACTGATATTTAGAACAAACATTTATTAAAATGATACGAAAATAATACAGTATTTAAATTCCAGCCATATTTATGATAAACTAATAAGTAATAACACATTAATGTACCTAAGTAATTCATTGTAATAATCGTTTAAAATAACCAATTAATTAAAAAAATATGTTTAGTGATTTAATCAAAATATGACTGATGATTATTTCTGAAGTACAATTATCAACAGTCTCCAATTATTTCATACGTTA